CAACTTACAGACCTCTGCTACTCTCGAAAAGTAAGTTGGCATCATAGAACTTGTGTTTGGTTTGAGGAAACACCTTGTTGGCCTCCTTCCTGGCCTGGTCGAATGTGAGCCCACAGTTAAATCCCTGAAGTTTGCTCGAAAGCCAAAATGTCAGCTCTTTGGGTCATGTCACAGATTCAAAATACAAATGTTTGGATCCAAGCTGATATTCATGATATTCACCAGGCAAAAACATGCTGCCTTTCAGGAAAATATACTCCTTAAAGATCTTCTGTACTCATCAAGGAAAAAAGAAAGAGGGACTGCAAGTAAATAATCTTCCATTTCTAAATGGAGGTTAAGATCCAAGATCTTACCTGGAACGTTCAGAAAAGGAGTAATCACTGGTAATCTTTTCTTAGTACTTTGGTGCCATCTGTGAGGGCTCTCGTGTGATTTTACAGATGTTCCAGTGTGGTCATTTACTCATGGCATATTAACAACTGCTGTTGTCTAAATAAGTTCAGTGATGAATTATGTAGAATTTCATCTGGCTGAGCAAACTGTGTAGATGAATTTTGCTTATGGGGTGTGGGAGATGTTTTGTGAGCTTCATAAACGGATGAAAAAGAGTTAAATGTCCTTTTCACCTCTGCGGGTAGGGTCAGGCATCCTTGTATTAAAATAACTATCTGAAAGACAAAGACACAAGCATTTCTTCCTGTGCAGATACTGAGTGTATGTATGTCTCAGTCTGGCTGCAGTGAGGGCTGCCCAGAATGTAATTCTGTCTGGATTGTTTAAAGCACAGATACAGCATTGCAACAAATTATATTTTCCATGCTTTGAGGAAAAACTGTATTGAATATTTTCCCTCTTTGTAAGCTTCAGTCAGCAAAAATCAAAGTCCTTGCTTCAGCTCACTAAGTAGTAAGCTGGGCACTTGTTTTATTTGAGTTTTATTGCTGTAGTTTCTTCCAGCCCAGTCATTTTGCTGACAGTTTAGGTGAGGGTTAGCTTTTTTAAATCATTAATAATTCAAGAATAAGTTGGGCTATGTTGCACTTGAATATTAAGTCCGGGGTTGGTGTTTTTAGTAGGTGGAGGTCAGACTGACTTGTGTGGTTGCATTCAGCAATCACAGGTGCAGCCCCTCCCCAGGATGTGTTAGAAGCACCCAAAGCGTAACACGACTGTTGTAGGACCTGCCAAGTATGGATCTTGTCATCATGTGGCCAGACATACCTGTATATAGTAATGCCAGTGTGTTGATGTCATAACAAAGGGACATGGTGTCATCAGAAAGGCTGGTGTTGAATCATAGAATCATTAGAGTTGGAAGGGACCTTTAAAGGTCATCTAGTCCAACTCCCCTGCAGAGATCAGGGACACCTACAGCTCCATCAGGTGCTCAGAGCCTGAGCAAGCCTCACTTGAATGTCTCCAGGGACAAGACATCCACCATCTCTTTGGGTGGCCTGTTCCAGTGCCTCACCACCCTCACTGTAAAAGTCTTTTTCCTTGTATCCATCCTAAATCCACCCTCTTTAACCTTGAAGCCATTTCCCCTTGTTCTGTCATCACAGACCCTGCTTAAGAGTCTGTCCCCTTCATCAGAAGGATGCACTTCCAGCAGCAGCACTCCCAGAGAAATGTGTTCTTCATCCTGCTTCCTTCATAGCCACAGTCTGACTAAGGAAAAAAGTATTTAAAAGATCAGGTTTGCGGCTGAATGAGGTTTTCCTGTTGTACGTATTTACATCAATAGCTATAGAATGAGAAACCACTGAATTTCAGTCATGGTCTTGTTGTGAGCCTGCTTAGAGATGGCCTTGTCGCTGTCATCTCAGAGGAGAAAATCATTTTTTCTTGCCTTATAAATATTTTTTTAGCTTTAACATTTGAAGCAGCATAGACCAGCAACAATATTATAGAAAACCCTTTCTGCACTGCATCTTCACATATCTGTTATGGATTTCCAGTCCTTTAGCCTTTCCGTGTAGCAATGATGCAGACCACGGAAAACTACAAAGCAGAGATAGCTGGGTGTCTGGCTGGCTTCCTGCAGGGCGGCTGGGCTGAGAGGCACTCCTGAGAGATCTGCACCACTGGGGGTGTTGGAATGAGCATCCTTTGTACAGCATCCCTGCAGTGCACTGGCTGGAGGGCAAGAGATGGGAAGGCTCAGCATGCAGGTCTGGTCAGTGATGTGCACAAAGCAGGGAGCACCATTTGTGCATTCATTACCCAGACGTATCCCTGAACAGCCACAGCTTGCATTGCTTTGTTAAGGAGCAAGAAGAGTTCATATTTGAAGGTAAAATGGTCCTTTTGTTTACACAATCTCACTGCTTATATAACAGCACTTTCAATGGTAAAGTACAGCTGGAGCCTGGACATGTCGTCTATAGAGATAACACATAATGGGGAGCAATGTAAAATGTAGTAAATGGTGCTGAAGGCAATCAGCATAGTAGGTACCAGAGGTCAGGAAACGCATGCTTGTGAAGGAGCACCTGCACTGCTTTCCTGCAAGCAGCAGTGCTGAGTGGGGTTTCTGAAAAGCAAGGGAATGGGCTTGTAAAGGGCTCCAGGGAGTTGTGACAGGAGGGCAAGTGGCACTTCCCGTGGTGGGGAAGGCATCCCCAGCAGCTGGCTGACACGGCACAGTGGTGACCATGGGTGTGTTAAATGATTTTCACAAAGAGGAGAAAGGAGGCCACTGACTAACCTTGTTTTTCTCTTTCTTGAAATGGTAACCACTAATACACATATGTGCAAAAACATCACCTCGCACACGCTCACACAAGCATGCAGTGGGACAAAATCAGAAAAATGGCCAAGTTTTCTTCTGAGATATTCAAGGTTGATGAAGTGAGCTCTGATTCAAAAATGAAACAAGGGCACATGGCAGTCAGTCGATGGCATCTGCACTCCAGCACATTTGTTTCCATTTATTTCGTTGGAACCGTTTGTAAGCTTTGTATGTTATAAACCAAAAAGAGCTATTGATTTTTTAAGTGTCCTGTTTTTTTTACAATTTGTTAAACCATTTTATTCAATTCTGAGTGAAAAAAAATACTTCTGATCTGTGTTCTGTTGTTTAAAGAAACCTCAAGATTCATACTTGCATGTCATATGAATGATGAAACAAAGTTATAAATATTCATTGCTTTCTAGAATCACTTTTTAAAAAAACATATCTTTGTACTCAAAGTATTTGTAAGTCCCCATTAGTGCTTTTTGTGCTCTCACATCAGAATTCCTAATTTATAGCCAAGCAAGTATCTTAGGCCTAGATCTTCCTCCTACATGTAATGGAATCATAATGCTGTCATAGATATCACAGCCATTTTTGTAAAATATGATGTTGAGGAAGACTGAGTTCATTGTACTATACATATGTAAATGCCTCCGTTTCAATAGTCTCAGGGGAAGGCAGATGCCAGGAAGAATTCCCAACCAGTGTACATATTAATTGTCACCACCTATCGTGGGATAATAAAGCACATTCATACAAGGAAAAGCGTGAAGAATCGAGAAGGTTTCCTTGGGAGAGTAAGGGCATTTGTGTGAGACTTAAGGAAGTCACGTGGTGAGTTATAATAATCTAACTGCAGTCTAGAAAATCACCCTTTCCTTCTTTGTATCTGTAACGATGCTCTGGTGCAACTCCTGCCTTCAGACGGCCGCTGTGGATTTACAGCAGGCTGCAGAAAATCAGACTCCAGCACAAGTTGTTTGTTATCAGCATAGCCCTGCAATGACAGATAGCTATTGCTACGGCATGAAACAGTGAATATTTTGCTTCTCTGTAACTCAAAGTCTTTTCAGTTTCAGGAGCACAGGGGACAGGTTATCACAGAGCATGGTGAACTGATCTGTTGAGCATGTATGCTTATGTAGGTGTTTGTGGGTGTGAAGACATCCTGAGCTTCTCAAGACTGGATGTGGATAAGAAATCCACAGCATGACCAAATGATTAGACAGAAAGTTCTGCCTATAAATTATCTGGGCAGAAGTGTAGCTCATGTGGATGTTTCTATACAAAGAATCCACACTGGAGACGACTGTGTGGGTTTGAAGGAGATGAAGTCTATATTTGATTGGCATCTACCCAGTTTGGAAAGAACTAGAACAATGCAAAAAATTGAATTTCCTGAATCAAAGCAGGCAATTCACCAAATTCTCAGCTACATACAAAAATAAAGGGATGCAAGTCTGTGTCCAGTGTCTCCCCTACACAGCATGACTTGAAGGAAGTTGCCGTATGCAGTTGCACCATCTCTCACCTGGGGATTTGAGTTCTTCCTGCAGCTGTTCCCAAGAAATGAAATGTTGTTTGCTTGTATAACTTCCCACAGTGCAGCCTTTGGTTGCTCCATGCTGATTCTCTCTGCTGTTTCAGCTGCTGAATAAGTTGGTATTACCTCAACAGAAGCATTGAAAGTGTAGTTAATGCTGCTACGCTCCGTATTTAAAAAACATTTTTTGAAGTCAGAGTGAATGTCAGTAAAATATTCTCTCATGGTTCAGGGCTCCAATAGCTGGTACAATGCCTTAATTGGCATTCTTGTGCAGTGCTTGGACCTTTGCCAGTTAATGACCCATTGCTGCAGTCTGCACAGGCAAATTACCCCTTCTGTCCGGCTCTTCAAACTGATGGACTTTTGCCCAAGTAATGGCTGCAGGCTCCTATTCTCGGCTGGCATCAACCCCAGTGCGACTATAAACATCCCTGAGAGGGTCATAATATGATATATTGGACAGATTCTGATGCGCCTCGCAGTCATATACCACCAAACAGTTCTGCTGAAGTCAGTGACTTTGGCAGTGGCATAGCAGAAGTAAGAAACTGGTCCTTCTGCTGTAGCTCTCTCAAGTAATGAAACAGTTTCAGGTTATTAGCTAGTCTGTGTCCCTTTAGATGATATATTTTTTTGCAAACCCTTTATTAAACATCCAAAATAGTTTTACTTTTGTTCTGATTTTAAATGGCTGCATTATCTCTCCTGTTACAGGATTTTCCATTCTCCAGGCAATTATGGAAGCAGCAGTTCAAAACAACTGGCAAGTGACAGCCAGATCTGTAGGAAGCATAAAGGATGTTCAAGAATTCAGAAGAATTATAGAGGAAATGGACAGGCGACAAGAAAAAAGATACTTAATTGACTGTGAAGTAGACAGAATAAACACCATTTTGGAACAGGTATGTTTTTCAAACTGTGGTTTCTCAATGATACATTTTGTTAATGTTTCCCTAACTGTCCATTCCTAGAAATTAATTAAATGTTCATTGAGGTTTGAGTCCCAGTGACCTGGTAAAGTTCAGATTCCTCACTGATGGCCACAGTTGGTGGCAGAACTTACACGTAACCTACCAGGAAATGTCTCTGTGATATTTTTTCCAACTGTTAATAATGTATTATTTTTAAGTAGGTTAAGATCCTGAAGCCTCATCCACCAGAGCAGCATTATTACTGTCAGGGCTTCTTGCAGGGAGTGCCAGGCAGGTGTGGTTTGTTAAGTGGAACGTGAGACAGGAAATAAAAGGCCAGTTAAACAATTCTCAAATGCAAATATGGCTAATGAAAAATTCAACTGGTAGTCCAAACTGTTCATTCATGCTTCTGGGGACATTAATCCCTTCCCTGTGCACAGCTGGTGCTGTTGACAAGCCTAAATTGCAGGTGATAGAATTCACCTTTTCTGATGAGGGCCCAGTTTTGAGTCAGTAGTTTGCTATTGCCCAGCCTTCTTGCTGTTTGCCTTGCCCCATGGGAATGGCCTGCAGCACTCTCTGCACAACATGCATGAAGAGCTATTGAACAGACAGACATCATGGGAAGCAGAAACAGAGAGGGTGCCTCCGCCTGGACTTGCCACAAAGCCAGGGTTGGTACAGTACCTAGTCTATGTGGCTATCTATCACTGACATGTGGAAATTTATTTGTCTTAAGACTGAAAAACCCTCTGATTACGACCACCTCACAAATTTAACTGGGGATTCGCGATACAGAATAGATCAAAAGTATCATTTAAATTTCATGAAGCATTAGCATTCTTTTAGAAATGTTGTCTCATATACAAGCAGCAAGCTGACCTCACTGCTATAAACAGATCCTAGAAAACGCAGTAGATATATTCACTGAGTTTCTTCCCAGTCTATTCCATTTCAGTCCAGCCCTGAGGTACGGCGGAGGGCTGGTGTGTGGGGACTGAATCACTGCCACAGGTCCCAGAGATGCTGGTGTTAGACAGCAACAGGCAGAGAAGGGAGCTTTGTCTCAAGAACATAGCACAAGGCCATGCTGAGCCATAACTCTACTGCTGAATGATCGTAGTACTGATGCGTAGCGTTGCATTCTACACTGTAATCTTTAGTCAATATGGTGACTTTGGGGAAGTTCATGAACTGTAAGAAACTTAACTTTTACTTTCTTCCTTTTGCTTCTATTCTTGCAAAAGACTGCAGCCCAATCTTTTTTCAGTGATGCGAGAGAACACCCAAACCAAGATTAATAACACTTTGGGCCCACTCTCAGCTGGAGAATAAGCCTTTTGTTTGATCTTTCTAAGTCCAATTACATTTTATTCACTCTTTTTATTATAATGTGCAAGTAGGAGAAAAATATTCAAACCATTTCAAAGCCAAGCACGAAAGCCATATACCAAGCAAATGATCTAGCAGAACAACTGGCAAACGTTTCTTCTGCAGCCATTCGAAGCTGAAAGACAAAGAAGTTATAATTTTACTGAATGTTTGATTCCACTTTTTATTCATGTTATAACATCCGTGTAACTAAAGACTTGGTGCTGGGGCTCTACAGTCCCTGAACTCTACAATAGTTTGTTCCCACTTTGGCATAGTTATAGCTCTTTCTCTTATCTTGCACATAGCCCATGCCTGTACTGTTAAATGAGGCTTTTCTCTGTTACTATGCTCACTGTCCATCTTTTGAGCTTACTTTTCATGAAATCTTTATCCAGAGTAATCTGAAGTATTTCTAAAAGATCTTAAAATTTCCTTCCAGTTGGATTTTGTAACTCAATCAGCTTTAGCCAAGCAGTTGAATGCAGTTAGTCCATTGCTTTGCAACCAAACCTGTCAGGCATTTTCACATACAAGTGTTATGTCACATGTGTTGTCCCATGGATGTAATATGATTATTTTCCCTTAATTTCATCTAAGGTATTCATGAGCAAAATTGTTTGAATTTGCAGTATCAGAAATGGATTTACAAATTTCTGTTTAGAAAAAAAAACCTGTAAGGCAAACCAAATGTAGCTTCTGAGACAAATACTCTGGTACTAATCCTGTCTCATTAGAAGTCCAACAAGTGCATTCCAGTTGTGCAACACCTTCATAGGCATATTATCCCATTTATTTCAGCAGGACCATTCACTTGACAAAAAAAATGTCCAAGCATATCCCTAGCTGGTGCCTCATATGCTAAAAATATCTGCTGGCAACATTTTCCAGAGTTTCGTGTTTGTTTTTTAATCTGGAATTCAAGAGCAATGATTAAATTTCTGCAGGGAAAGTCAGTAATGCAGGTCCCCAGATTGTCAGCTGAATAACTATTGGTTTTAGGCATTTCGTTCCATCTCATCTGCTTTCCTTGTTATCTTCTCATAAGGTAGCTAAAAAATTTCACAAATATGTGCAGTATTAAATCCAGCCATCCAGTTTGCTCAAGGGAATGGTGAGTTGTCTTCGTTATAGACAACTGTGTTTGCTGATAGCATACCATTGAGGGGAAAGATAACTCTGGATTTGCATATTTCAAATCTGTGTTTGATTGCAGTTTAGAAAGTCAGATTAGTGCTATGCGTGGAACCTAGGGGGGCTGCTCAGCTACAAGGCAATAACATCTCCATGCTGACTACATCACTGCAGGTATACTCAGCAAGAGAAAAGGGAAGACCATCAAGGCTCCTTGCCTGTGATGGCACAGATCTGAAGGACAAACTTCCCACAGCTGTTGCCATAGGCTGCCTCAGCACCTGTACCCTTTCCATCCTTCTTTCTCTGGACTCCTCAGGGCCCATCCTCAAGGCTCACCCCAGGAGCAGTGGCTGCCCCCAGGGAAGGTGCTGTCTGCAGTCACCATGGAGGTGTGGCGACTGGCATTTTGTTCTGCAAGGACAGCACTTGTTAGGGAACCTAGATTTGAGACTGGAAATAGGTCTTATTTAAGAACACAAATCATAGCAGAAATAAATGGACCATAAACGACTAAACAATCTATGCACGTTCTGAGTTTGCTATCAGAGTTTTGGGCACATTACCAGACTGTTCAGCAAACTTGTCAGGTCTCTGCTCCAGAAACCACATATTGTGGCTTTGTGTTAGTGCTCAGATTAAAGAAGAGTGACCTCTTCTCAAGAGTCAAGCTGGTCAGTGCGTGCACTTCTCTTCCTTTGATGTTTCTTTCAACCAGTTCAAAAAAGGATGCACCTCTTTTCCAAAGGTCTAGGCTTACCAAAAGCCAATTACCTAACTGAGGATTTTCTTCAGAGACTTCAGGTCCTACTGGAATACTTTGTACCTTCCTCCACTGACATGCAGATATGTGAGACAGTGACCTTCATATTCCACGTGCCTTTCATATCTGGCACATCTGTCCATCCAAATGTTTCTAAGGTCTGATGCCTGTCATATAAAGTATTTCTATCTTCGGGGCTGGCTGGTACCCATGAAAGGTTTTCTCTTGGTGGGTGAATGTAAAGGAAGAGAAGGAGGACACCATAGTTTGTACTCTTTCTGGGTAACCTGTTTTCTGTGAGGTTTCCCTGTGTAGCACATCCGATTTCATTCAGCATCCCAGAGAATCCTTTTGTGGCTCCATATTGTGCATTTTTGGATATTGTGACTCCATAAAGGTGGATACCGTGCCCAGATCACCTCTAGTTCTATCTTCTTACTTGTGGACTAAAAGGAAGCACAGAAATCAGTAGTCATTCTGGTTATCATCTGTTTCTTCATTTGCCCTGTAGTTCTGTAACTATGTGGATCCATATCACTCCTTGCACAACAAAGCTATATCCAATTTAATCATCTAGTGGCCTCTCAAGCATACGGATAGCAACACTTACGTCATGCAAAATTCATAAGCTCCCCTCACTTCTTTTCCCTTGATGCTAAAATATTCCCGTATTCCTTCACAGATAGATATAATATTTTGTTCTCATAAACTGAACATTTTCTTCTGAGAACTAACAGTAAGCTTTAGCCTATTCGACCGTGTATTTAGAGGCATGTTTTTGAGTTAAGAAATATGTTTTTTTCTTATTCCCAAGATAACAGACTGTATTTCAGACTAGAGTGGCTTTGTGTCCATTTAGAAGTAAAGCTCCTGAGGGAAAATAAGGAGGAAGAAACTCCATTTGGGATCAAAATGGTGAAACTTTACAAAAGACCCAATTATTCCAGAGACCATGTGCTTTTATCAAAAGGGTACTATCTCCAAACATAGCCATATAGGTTAGGTTCCAAGGTAATCTCTTTTCTGAGTGGAGGCATCTCACAAAGCAGAAGTAATATTATAGTAGAGAATGCAGTCCCCAAAATTTTACGATGATAATAAAACTGTCAAAGATGACTTGAAGTAAAGCATCCCTAGGATTAAGAAGGGTAATCTGATTGACTGAACTCTGTCCCATGCTGGCACTGACTGTGACTTGACATTTGAGTATGAACGTTTGAGATTAAGAAGACTATCTCCAAGTTTTTGTCCCTCTGCATAGCTGCTCAGATCACAAAGGACTGGGCTTGCTGCAAAACAGCTTTGCCATTTATCAGAAAAATAAATGCAAAAGCACAGCATTACGTTGCACCAATAGTCATCAAAAATAGCGACAGTAACTGCCTATAAGCACAATGGGACACTTGAAGGAGAGAGCATCCAGTAAGTATGGTGTTGTGTAACGTCACCCAGAAAGTGGTACAGTTCATTTTTATATTTCCAGTGAACTAGAAACTTAATATTTAGGGCATTCCTTCATTAGATGCCCATGAGTATTGTTGAAACTGGGATCTAAAGCAGAGTGACAGGTCACTTCTTTCCCCTCACATCCAGAGAGTTCCAGGTTTGTTTGGGCTTGTGGGAAGGAAGAGGGAACTACTTGAGTCAGTTACTGTCAGGACTGTAGCTAGCAAAAGGTAAGTAAAAGAAATGGACATATGTCAAAACTGACAGCTGTATC